TAAAACTCTTTGAAGAAAACATATGATAAAAACTTCATTTAAAATAACACTGGATTTGCAATGATTTCTTGGATATAACACCAAAGGCATGGGTAAAGAAGAAAAAAAAAAGACAAATCTAACTTAACAAAAATTTAAAAATTTTGTGCATGAAAAATGAAAAGACACTACTAACAGAGTAAAAAGGTAACTACAGAATGACAGAAAATGTTTGCAGATCACATTTGATAAGGGATTAATATCCTGAATACTACAGAGAACTCCCAAAATTCAACAACAAAAAGCAACCAATCCAATTAAAAAATGGGCAAAGAATGTGAAGAATCATTTTTCCAAATAAGATATACAGATGGCCAATAAGCACATGAAAAGATGCTCAACAGTACCAATAATTAGGGAAATGTAAATCAAAACTACAAGGAGAGACCATCTCATACCCATTAGGATGACTATTATCAAAGAACTGAAAAAAAAAATGTTGGTTAGAATGTAAAATAGTATGGAACAGTGTGACAGTTCCTCAAAAAAATTAAAAAATAGAAATACCATATAATCCTGCAATTGTACTTCTGGATATTTACCCAAGAGAATTGAAAGCACAGTCTCAGAGATGTATGTACTCCTAAGAGCACAGCAGCATTTTTCACAATAGCCAAAACGTGGAAACAAAACAACTGTCCACAAATGAATAACCATAATGTGGTACATACATACAATGGAATATTATTCAGCCTCATAATATAAAGGAAAGAAATTCTAACACAGGCTACAACATAGATGAGCCTTGCAGACATTGCGATAGGTGAAATAAGCCAGTCACAAAAAGAGAAATACTGTATGATTTTACTTACATAAGGTATTTAGAGTAGTCAAAATCATAGAGACAAAGTAAAATGGTGGGTGCTAGGTGTTGGGAAAAGGGGGTAAAGGGGAGTTGATGTTTAATGAATACAGAGTTTCAGTTTTGCAAGATGGAATAATTTTTGTAGGTGGATTGTTGTACAACACTATGAATGTACTTAAATGTGACTGAACTTTACATTTAAAAATAGTTAAAATGGAAAATTTCATGTTAAGCATATTATACTACAATCTAAATTTTTAAAAAATTCTTTGCTTAAAAAAAAAGAAAGCAGAGAAATATATTTTATAAGAAAACATGTCAAAGAAGTAAGCTGGATATTCCTTGGAGGTGAAAGTAGAATGAATATGATTTTCTATTCTATACCATTTAGCACTCCCCAATTTAATAATGTGTACTTGTTTTTATAAGAAAAAGTAAGTTGAATTTTAAAAAGTTTTAAGTAGTTATGTGAGGTTAAAAGATTTTCAACAAAAACAAATTTCTAATACTGTGACAAAAATTATTATCAAACAGTATTTCCTAATAGAAATTTTCTCCAGAATCAGCCATTTGTGAATATACATTAGGAATTCACCTTGATTTTAACTGTCTCTAAGAAAGGGAAAAGATTTTTCTAAAATTTTGTTTATTCTTTAACTATGACACTGAAGCATACTTTTTGGTATTATTGATGTTACTACTTTCCGTTTCTGAGATTTTTCACAGAAAATTCACATATATGTCATAATTACTCACAGATTTTAGCCAACTTTTGAGTTAAAGTTTATAAAATCAAAAAGCATGCTGGTCATGGTTTTGGAAAATTTCATATTAACAATCCAACATACTCAATGAACAAATAGATAAAATTTATCTTAGATAAAAATTATCTTTTCAATTTTGCTCAAGTATTCAGTATCAAAACTATGGCTAATACATATTATTTATCTTTCAGTATTATATTTTCTTTTTAAAATACAATTAATTCAACTCATTTCACTCCCTCTCTCTCCTTCCCTTTTTGTCTTTTCTTTTTAACCCCTTATCTCCTCAGACTTTTAAAGAGTTAACTAAGTAAAACAGAAAAATTTGTAAGCACTACAATTATCAGCAAAAAGTCTGACAGTACCTACCCTGGTAATACATATACTAAATACCTGAAATAATGTTTCAATGGCTTTAAAATATTTCTTTAATACTAATCTAAGAAAATTATTTCATTTAAACAAACTGACTACATGTTAAATGCTGAATACTATGCCACAAAACAGGGAAAACAATGATGAAAGAGATGCAGCTTTTTCCCTAGTATAATTAATGATACTGTTCAGTTAGTATACTTCTTTTATAAAACTCTAAACTGAGAATTTATTGAAATCGACTATGTTTTCTTAACATCCACAGCTGACCTTTGAACAACATGAGGGTTATGACTCCCACCCTCCAGGAAGTTGAAAATACGTGTCTAACTTTATAATCAGCCCTCCATATCTGCAGTTCCCCACCTGTGGATTCAACCAACCATAAACAGTATAGTAATACTGTTTATTGAAAAAAAAAAACCCACATACAAGTGGACTTACATAGTTCAAATCCACATTGTTTAAGGGTCAACTGTAATTTAACATTAAATATCTGCTATTATCCACAATGATTCATTCAATTCTGGCTAAATTTAACAAACCAAGGAAAATTATACGCTATTGAATGATTTATAAAGTATTCTCATCATTCACCTATGAAGTCTCATTCAGCAAAGTTGTTTCACACTGCACACAGTCAACTATCACTTAGCAGCCGTCAATCCAATTTATGTTTCCCCTAATTGAACAGAGTAAAGTATGTGTGGACTAAATATCCTGGAAGAGTACTTACAGAAAGACACATAAAATTGTTCAGCAAAATAAAAGCAGTATTTTGCAATTTCTGCCAGATACTTTGGAGTCTCATCAGGAATACTACTCTATAATCACTAAGATAAATCTAAATTCATATTTAATTGTTATTCTTTTAAAACAAACAATTGAAAATGCTGAATGAAACATGAATATAGATCTTACCAATGCAGGCCACTGAATCTGTTTGCTCTTTGATCCCTGAGTCTGTCTAGGGTCGTTCCTTCTGGCCCAGATTAAGTGGTATTCCACCAAGAAGGTTGAAAAATCTTCATAAACTTTAACCCACTCTCGTTTATCCCATTCAAGATCGTCAAATTCCACGTACACCTACAGAAAAGAAAACATAAAACTCCATAAGCAACAGAGTGTGATATTTTATAACATATGCCATAAAGTTGAACTACAAAAGACATTAACATATTCATTATACAAATTAACACTTCTCTTAAAATCATTATTTATCTAACTTTTCCTCATCTAAATTATAATTATCAGACAAGAAGATAAACTGTAAGTATACTGAGAAAAACAATTTACACAATACTGGTCAGTTCAGATGGGCAAATATCTACTAAAGACACACTAAAGAACAATGTTGATAATGATGATTCCAGAAGCAGAAGTTAGGAAACATTTTCTGTAAAGGACAAAATAATAGATATTTTAGGCTTAACAATCCATATAGTTTCTGTCATAACTACTTATTTGTGACTTTGTAGGTTTAAAATAGCCACAGACAGTAGGTAAACAAATGAGCTCGGCTTTGTTCCAACGGAACTTTAATTACAAAGACAGGAGAAAGTGCAAGGATGGCTCAACAAATGAAAATCAATGTAACACACTATATTAACAGAAAGTAATAAGAAAACTACATGAGCATCTTAATCCACACAGAAAAAGCATCTGACAAACTCAAAACCATGTCATTATAAAAATACTCAAACTAGGAACAGAAGGAAACTACCTCAACATAATTAAGGTCATACTGAAAAACCTACAGCTGAATCATACTCAATGATGAAAGTCTGAAAGCTTTTCCTCCGAAACAGAAGCAAAACAAGGATGTTGTATTTGTAAAACTGAAGCTGACTCTTATAACTAAGTAATTCAATCATTCAACTTTTCTTTCCCCACTTTCATTCTTTTCCATTCATAAAGCTCTCCTCACAGAGCTGTCTTCCCTACTCTTCATAGAGGTCTCTTTTCTACTAGATTATGAGTTATGTCGGAGGCAGTTTGTTTTACGTTTTTCTTCCACCTATCATTTGCTCCCTTACACCTGAAGTGTTTCAGTTTCAACTTATTTAAATCCTCTTTGTTCTTCTGGCCATGCTCAAGTTCTTTCAGGATGTTCATAATCCTCACTTTGATTCAAACTTAACTTTAAACATCTACAAGCAGTTATTCTTCATATAGTTTACATTAGTATAAAATCAAATAATGGGCATAAACTCACTAAGGGTAGAGCTGTTTTAGTGTCCAGTACAGTGCTGCATATATACTAAGTGCTTAATAAATATTACACATCTTTTGACTCTTGCAACCATGAACTTTTAAACATGGAGGCAAACTGGTAAAAGATATGTATGATTTCGAGATCTCTGTGCTGCTGCCCTTTAGAAAGCTAGATAGAAGTGCTTACATATTAGAATTGGGAAAGAGAGTAATACACTGTGCAAGGAGTCAACCTTTGTTCATAGTTATCACTGCTCAAGGAGTTAACCTCTGTTCATAGTCATCCACACAAAGTCAGAGCAGAAGCCTTGCTTGACTCTATAAAAATGTATCCTTAGGGGTTGAGTTGAGGTCCATTTGGTATTATGCATAGTAAGACAGACAGAAGGACCTTACAGAGGTGAATGAGAAGGGAATTAACAAAGTAATGTATAATTTAGGAAAAGTATTTACAGCTCTTTTGGGTAGGTTTACAGATTGATGGAAAGAAACTATGCCTCCCAAAACCTCATCCCATAGTAACACTTTCTCCACTACTTGAAATTTTTTTAGATTCTCATATTAAGTGACTCAATAATGGTATATACAGATTTTTGGAAACTCCAAGAAACTGCAGCTGACGCAATGCTCAGGAAAAGCTTAATACAATCTTTCCCCTCATGAACAATAATATATGGTCTTGTATACAAAATATTTTAGACAAGAAACTAAAGACCCAAGGTCTGTAAACGTTTCCTTATCCTGAAAGACATATATTTGATGTAAATTCTTCCAAATGCAAAGCCTTCAATATAAAATTAAAAGTTTTCAGCTTGAAGAGAACTTTCTAAACTGATTGCTTATCTTGCCTGGACAGTGTCACTGGCAGTTTTAGGAATCTGCTAGGACCCTGGGGAGAAAAGGAAACTAAAATTAGACATTCTGCTTCTTCTTTGCTGTGCAGCCAATTTACCTTCAGAATATCAAGAACAGTGAACGGTTTGAGGTTCGACTGTAGACAGGTAGGTAGGTAAGTAGGTAAGTAGGTAGGTAAACAGGTAGAAAGAGATATAAATGCTAATAAGCCAGCCTGTTACTGTTTTATGGATTCATGACTGCTAGGACTCTACTACTTAGAATAAAAACTGCTTATTACTTAAAGCAGAGTATCAGCACACTGCTTACACTGGCTCCTCATGCCTCCCTAGTCCCATGGGAAGGACGCAAAGGGCTTAGGATGAACGCGTGTGTACACAGAGAGAGCATCAACCTTGGGGTGAATTCTCACTTTTATATTAAGTGGAAGCAAGGCAGCTCTTTGGGAAAAGTCATTATCTCACTGCTGCTCACTGCAAACACAACCCTGAGCGATGGTCCGGACGAAGACTGATCAGGGTTTTGCATTCTTGGCATATCTAGCAATAACATGTAGGAAGACTCAGTGCCAATGTTGGACTGCCTACACCAACACAGATAAGATTTTGTATCTTAGCTAACTGAATCGGTAACTAACTTAGACTTACAGTATATGGGTATGTAAGTGGTATGAGGTTTGGGGAGGCGCAGTTTCTTTCCATCAGTTTGTAAAACTACCTAAAACACTGTGAAAACTTTTGTTTAATTATACACTACTTTATATTAACTCCCTTCTCATTCACCTCTGTTAGGTCCTTCTATCTGCTAAGTTCCCTGTCTTACTAATTAAAATACAAGATTCTTAAGGGCAAGGATCAGTATGCCTTCAACTTTTTTGCTTTTCTAGTGTCTTACACAGTATCTAACAAACTAAGGTTTTTCTTAAATTTGTTTCTGAATACTCAAGACCATGGGAAACTCATTACAAATACAAATAAATGACAAATTTGCAAAGAAGAAGAAGAAAGTACTAAATGCAACATGAATACAGTCGCTCTACTTATTAATTAATCACTGGCTTCATAATGTAAAAAAAAAGAAAAAGAGGAAGACTGCACTCAATAAACACTTCTGATTTCATATTAGAACCAATGAACACTGGGAATTCAGAAATAAGATATACGCAAGAGTTAACAGCCATGGATGTTGCAGTGATTATGACAGAGTGAAAATGATATGAGAAAAAGGCTAAACAAAATAATCATTAAAAATGATTACTATTTCGTAGTAATAAACATGTGGTAAGTATTTTTTAGCCCAAGATATTACAACAGTGACTCCTAAGAACTGGTCGCTGGGTAATTAAAAGACTTATGTTTTTCTTTTAATACATGTCTTGTACAACATATGTCAACAAGCACAAATTCTCAGTTTTATATATATACGTAATAGCAAGCACTGAAAGAAAAGCTGTCAAACCAGCAGAGGAACCACTGGCAAGAAGAAAAACAGTACAAGCAGCAGTCATGAAATTCAGTTTCTGCTACTCTGCCTTTGAACTCTTCAAACACAGTCATTGGTTAATAGAGAATGTCCCTTTTTCTGCAAGGTTTGATTGCTTCAAAGTCGTAAATGGATTCTGCTCACTTGGTTCTGAGACCTGTATTCAACTTACATATATAAAAATAACGAGATTTTATTATTTTAGTCTAAATTGTAACTTCATCTCTTTCACTTTATTTTACTATTTTATTTTATTGAGTTATAGTCTTTCACTTTATTTTAAAATCTCTAAGTAAGCTACAATCTTTACCTGCAATGTTATACTGTTAATTTGAGGGGGAAAATGCGGGAACAGTAAAAATGTTAACTAAATAAAAACCTAATATGCAAATTCAGAAAGAATTTAAGATTAGTATGATGGAGTACACTTTCTAGAGTTAAAATTCATCAATAATTATCACGCAATTTTTGTTAAGATTCTATGAGAATCTCTTATTTTTCTAGAACTGCAAAATAAAACAATGACCTGTAATTAAGAAAGCCCCTATTCTTTCACAACATCCTATATTCAGTGACATTTATAAGGACAATTGAGATACAAAACTGTTTCTACTGCAAAATCAAGTGATATAGGATACATTTAGTTATTTTTACCATGGTTTCAAGTAATAGTAGTAGTGTTGGTGGTAGTAGTAGTGGTAGTGGTGGTGGTGGTAGTAATAGTAGTAGTTATATCAATACCAAGTGCAATACAGACCTCATCTTTTTATTTTACTCCAAAGTAAGGGTGGAGATTTACATAATGTCATGTGACAACTATGAAGATTTCTCAGAATTATTTCTGCCAAAACCAACCAGTAACCACAGGTAAAAACTACTAAAGACTCTAAAAATCTTTTACGTTAAAAATAAAAGTATTAGACTACACTAACATTTCTCAAAATAAAGTGTATATTATAGAATCATCATTTCCCTGTATATAAATAAGTGTTAGGGAAGCCAAAAAGTCATGAACAAAGTTCACCAACTAGTAATAAATTAAAGTAACAAATGTCTAACTTTACCAGAGGTCTTCTCAAGGCTTTTAACATATCAGTGTTCACTGTGCAACATTAATAAGTTTATACCATGAGATTTTTCCCATTTGGCCATAAAATCTTCTATTCTGGGATTCGTAACAAAATACTGTTCTATAAAATATCCACATGGAGGGGAAGGACTAGTTTTTCCACAAGAGTTACCGATCTACAAATCAACATAAATAATTTGGTAGTATGAAATCAAGGTGGGGGGTGGCAAAATCTGTCATTTATGCCCAAATACTCAAGGAGGTAGACAGTAAATTAATGGGGTTTAAAGTATAATATAGTAAATTCTTTACTGAAGACAAAAATATTGCCCTATGCCTTTATAAAATTAAAAATATTTAACCATGGCTTATAGTTCATGTATGTTAAAAATCAGATCACCACATTAAATATGTAATTATGACAGATTAAGTTAGTTTACTTTTCTCCCTAAAGAATAAAACACAT